CCCTATCAACAATTAAAAATCCCCCATAAATAGTTAAAATAAATAATCCATTAAAAATCAAATCTAAACAACAAACCCTGTACATAAAAACTAACAACTTGGAACTCACCCCAAGTGAGTACAGTAAATACACTTTGCAGCCTTTTTGGGTATCTCTTTATTGTGTTGCACACTGATCCCGTTACGTTTATGCCTGTTCTACATATACTAAGAATGCTTCTATGTATGCTAGATATATAGGCCATTATCTCTTTCTCAGACTAAGAACAGAAAGCTGAGAGAGTAAGTGGACTGGGGCATCTGATTAACTCATGGCAGTGCTGAATTTTGGGTTCATTCTACTTTGAGTTCATACCTTACACAACTACAAGTGCATTCTTTGGTATTTTCTAAAGTGAAGATAACTGAAAGAAAAGCATAGCTTTCAATGTAAGTAGAGCCAATTTAAGGATGATTAATTCATCCATGAACCCATAAGTAGATCAACATTTAATAAGAAATTCTATTTTTTAAAAAAATCTAGAAGATAAGCATCTTGCAAATTCATCTCAATGTGGGAAAAGAAGAGGTTGCACCTTTTGGGGAGGCATTCAGCAGTTTAAGTGGGACAAATAAACAAGATTCTTTACTCTTGCTTTGGTTTTTTAAATTAGTTACAGTATAAACAAAAGGAAATGAATGAAATCTATGAAGATACAGAAGAAATTATATGCCATTTATTCTGCTTTTTATCTTTACTGCAAAGGGACATATCATATGATTATCTTCTGTCCTAATGGTTCCATTTTGTCTCTACACCAGTAGTTTCACCTATTTGAATGTTAGCACGTAAGACTATAAAGAAACATTAGTTGAGTTTTGTTGATTTTACTTTTTCTGTATCTAGAACCATACTTATCTGGACTGCCTTCCAGACGAAAAGAAAATTATAGAACTTGCTTGTCATGATGGGGTAAGTAACACAACCCTAAAATACCAGAGCTAAGATAGTAAAGTTGGTATAAAAATGTCTGAAGAGTTCAGTCTCCAACTGTGAATCCAGAAATTTACATTAACTGCAAAATTGGTATAAATAAAGATAATAAGGTTTGATACCCAAACTCACAAAAGTAGATTGCTGAAGGGCTAAAGTGCCGACTGAGGAGAAAGATTGGCTTGTTTTAATGCTTTTCACAGTTTGCAGTTTGATTTAATGCCTTTTAGTAGGATTACTGAATCTGGGCTGTTAAAAAAACAAGATGATTACTAGATAGCATAAAATATTTTTTTTCTTGCACTTGCTATTGTCTAGTAGTTGTCTGGATTTTTGCAAGTCAGATCTGGTAGCTTTGTGGCTGCTGTTTTGGTTAAGAATTATATAGGGTGGTATAGTGACAGTTTGAGACCAGATGTTTAGCTCAATTTGCACCATATTTTGCTTCATAATTTGTTGAGAGGAGTAATACAAGTCAGGCTGAATTCCTGTTGATTACATTGGAAGGATTGATAATGAAGCTCAAGTTCAGATACTTGGGTCTCCTAATGCGAAGAGAGGACTCTTTGGAAAAGACCCTGATGCTGGGAAAGATGGAAGGCAAAAGGAGAAGGAGACGGCAGAGGAT